CTACATTGCCTTATAATCCAGATTATCAAAGTAAATCATGGACATGATCTGCTTTGAACTGGATTATGTGAGTCTACACTGCCATATAATCCGGTTCAAAGCAAATAATCCTGATTTGATAGTGCAGTGTAGAAGGGGCCTCACTGAGTCCTCTTGGGGAGAGAGGGCGGAATATAAATGCATTATTATATTATTATTATTATTATTATTATTATTATTATTATTATTATTATTACTCTGTCCCTATAGAAGATAATATTGAGGGCTTCCACTCCCTATATTGCACTGTTCATATTGGTTAAGGCTTCTGGGAGCTGAAATCTGAAATAAGGCAAATTGAAGCCTTAATGTCAAGACTCAGGCTAGAATTCCCTTAGAAACCCAGTTTGGGATTTCCTTGGGGAAGTCACACTCTCTCAGCCTCAAGGGAAGGCAAGGGACGCTTCTTGGGGACAAAACCGAGGGTTGGGATTGCTATGAGTGGGAGAAGGAGTCCAAAGCAGACAAGGACAAGCCCTGAGACTTATTGGACACGTGTATATGGACTCTCCCCCTCTTTGCAGCCCCCATTATCCCCAACTTCCCAGGCTGTGACGCTTGCAATGGGGGATCCCTCTCCCTAAAGCCAAGAAAAGTGTCTTTTCCTCTCCTCCTTGATCAGCTGACATGGTTTTTTTTTATGTTGGGTGGGTAGGGGGGAGTAAAGGAGGCTCAGTCATCCCAGATTCTGCAAGGCAGCCTCTCATCCCGGAATCAGAATCTACTCTCTTTGGAAACACCGGTTTCCTTTCTCTTCCCCAAAGCAAGCTTTCGTGTTTGGAGCTGGGCTGCTTGTCCAAAGTCTCAGGTAGCTTGGGGGGGGGGGGGTGCGGGAAAAGTGGGGTGGTTTTAGTAGGGAGGGAGAGATTGTTTGGCATGTTTATATTTCAGGCATCATCCCTCTCTCCCCATCCTCCCGATGCTAGGACTCTCTCGCCTTCAACAGCTATTATTATTATTATTATTATTATTATTATTATTATTATTATTATTATTTGAAACACAACAAAATGAGTCCACAGCAGACAAGATCACTCTCTTGGCTGTTGTTTTGGATCACAAGTAGGACACTTCCAAAGTGTCTAGGACTGTGTGATGTTGTATTATTATTATTATTATTATTATTATTATTATTATTATTATTATTAGAAGTAGTACAAGATGAGTCCACAGCAGACAAGATCACTCTGCTGGCTGTTGTATTGGATCACAAGTAGGACACTTCCAAAGTGTCTAGGACTGTGTGATGTTGTATTATTATTATTATTATTATTATTATTATTATTACTATTTGAAACACAACAAGATGAGTCCACAGCAGACAAGATCACTCTACTGGCTGTTGTTTTGGATCACAAGTCGGACACTTCCAAAGTGTCTAGGACTGTGTGATGTTGTATTATTATTATTATTATTATTATTATTATTATTAGAAACCCAACAAGCTGAGTCCACAGCAGATAAGATCACTCTGCTGGCTGTTGCATTGGATCACAAGTCGGACACTTCCCAAGTGTCTAGGATTGTGTGAAGTATTATTATTACTATCATTATTATTATTACTGATGTTGTTGTTGTTATTATTAGAAGTAGTACAAGATGAGTCCACAGCAGACAAGATCACTCTACTGGCTGTTGTATTGGATCACACTTCGGACATTTCCCAAGTGTCTAGGACTGTGTGATTTATTATTATTATTGATATTATTATTATTATTAGAAACAGTACAAGATGAGTCCACAGCAGAGAAGATCACTCTGCTGGCTGTTGCAAGATGAGTCCACAGCCACTCTGCTGGCTGTTGCATTGGATCACACGTCGGACACTTCCCAAGTGTCTAGGATTGTGTGCTGTATTATTATTACTATTATTATTATTGTTGTTGTTATTATTGTTGTTGTTATTATTATTAGAAACAGTACAAGATGAGTCCACAGCAGACAAGATCATTCTGCTGGCTGTTGCATTGGATCAAACGTCGGGACTCTTCCAAAGTGTCTAGGACTGTGTGATTTTTTAAAATTATTATTATTATTATTATTATTAGAAACACAATATGAGTCCACAGCAGACAAGATCACTCTGCTGGCTGTTGTTTTGGATCACACGTCAGACACTTCCCAAGTGTCTAGGACTCTGTGATGTATTATTATTATTATTATTATTATTATTATTATTATTATTATTATTAGAAACAAAATATGAGTCCACAGCAGACAAGATCACTCTGCTGGCTGTTGTTTTGGATCACACGTCAGACACTTCCCAAGTGTCTAGGGCTCTGTGATGTATTATTATTATTATTATTATTATTATTATTTTATTTGAAACACAAGATGAGTCCACAGCAGACACTCTGCTGTTGTTGGATTGGATCACATGTCGGATACTTCCCAAGTGTCTCCATTATTATTATTATTATTATTATTATTATTATTATTATTATTACTACTATTATATCATCATTTGAAACACAACAAGATGAGTCCACAGCAGACATCTGCTGGCTGTTTATTATTATTACTTTATTGTTGATGATGATGGTGTTATTATTATTATTATTATTATTATTATTATTATTATTATTATTATTAGAAACAGTACAAGATGAGTCCACAGTAGACAAGATCACTCTGCTGGCTGTTGCATTGGATCAAAAGTAGGACACTTTCCAAGTGTCTAGGACTCTGTGATTTTTAAAAATTATTATTATTATTATTATTTATTAATTATTATTATTATTAATTATTAGAAACACTACAAGATGAGTCCACAGCAGAGACACTCTTCTGGCTGTTGTATTGGATCACAAGTCGGACACTTCCCAAGAGTCTAGGACTGTGATGTATTATTATTATTATTATTATTATTATTATTATTATTATTATTATTATTATTATTATTATTATTATTATTCTTCTGCAAAAGGATAATTTAAAAAAAGCAAAGGGAGGGGGATTTTTTTTTAAGAAACCCAGTGCAAGCCGCCTCATTCATGTTTGCTAGAGCCTTTGTTGGAATTGGCAGAGTTTGGGAAGGAATACAAAATTCCCAGTCTTGCCCAGTCTACAAAACTCTCTTTATCCAGAAATAGTGACTGGGAAAAAAACTACAAATTTAGGGACTATTATAGGTAGAAATTCTTGTTGCTTCTCGGGTTCAACTCTTCCCAAATTTGGGGGGAAAAAATAAGGTTAAGTGAGCTATACTTTGGAAAAGTTCAGTGCAGGGTCTTGAAAATTCTTTCCAAAACGAAATTTGTCATTTTGAATCAAAGCAAAGGAGAATATTCTGTTTTGTTGGTTTGTTTTGGGGAAAAGATAAATGGAGACACTTGTTTTCAATAGACTCTAGGGGTGAAACTATGTAGGGAATGCATTCTCTATGGCACACTGATTTGGAGCATGTTGCCTTGAAATGGGGCAGAGATTTGGAGGAAAGAAATCCAAGGGAAATATTTTATTTTTGGGAAGAGATGGTTAGGTTTAGAACCGGTCAACCAACCGAGGGCCCTTCTACACAGCCATATAACTGAGAATATGAAGGCAGAAAACTCTGCAATATCTGCTTTGAACTGGGTTATCTGAGTCCACACTGACATATAATCCAGTTCAAACATACAATCCATATCAAGGCAGAAAACCCCACAATATCTGCTTTGAACTGGGTTATCTGAGTCCACACTGACATATAATCCAGTTCAAACATACAATCCATATCAAGGCAGAAAACCCCACAATATCTGCTTTGAACTGGGTTATCTGAGTCCATACTGACATATAATCCAGTTCAATCATATAACCTATATCAAGGCAGAAAATCCCACAATATCTGCTTTGAACTGTGTTATCTGAGTCCACACTGGCATATAATCCAGTTCAAACATATAATCCATATCAAGGCAGAAAACCCCGCAATATCTGCTTTGAACTGGGTTATCTGAGTCCACACTGGCATATAATCCAGTTCAAACATACAATCCATATCAAGGCAGAAAACCCCACAATATCTGCTTTGAACTGGGTTATCTGAGTCCACACTGACACATAATCCAGTTCAAACATATAATCCATATCAAGGCAGAAAACCCCACAATATCTGCTTTGAACTGGGTTATCTGAGTCCATACTGACATATAAACCAGTTCAAACATCTCGTCCATATCCAGGCAGAAAACCCCACAATATCTGCTTTGAACTGGGTTATCTGAGTCCACACTGCCATATAATCCAGTTCAAAGCCGATAATGTAGGATTTTATTAAGCTGTGTGGAAGGGGCCCCAGAGAGGCACATTTTTTTTTGGGGGGGGGGGGTCCATTTGGCAGATTTAATTCTCACCAACCGAACTTGAAAAAAGAAAAGTTCTTGGTCTTGTATAAAGTTGAATTTTAAATCATTGTGTGTTATTGTCTATGTGTGAGTTATATTAATTGTATTGTCGAAGGCTTACATGGCCGGGATCACTGGGTTGTTGTAGGTTTTTCCGGGCTATATGGCCATGTTCTGGAGGCAATTTTTCTCCTGACGTTTCGCCTGCATCTATGGCAAGCATCATCAGAGGTTTTGAGGATGCTTGCCATAGATGCAGGCGAAACGTCAGGAGAAAAATTGCCTCTAGAACATGGCCATATAGCCTGGAAAAACCTACAACAACCCATTAATTGTATTGTTTATTTTGCTTATTGCTTGTTGCTTTTATTGATGTGTTGTTGGGCTTGGCCTCATGTAAGCCACTCCGAGTCCCTTGGGGAGATGGTGCCGGGGTATAAATAAAGTTTTATTATTTTATATTATTATTAATTATTATTATAATTATCCAATACATATATGAGTGTTGCTGTTGAGTGCAAATAAATTCCTTTCCACTTTGAATCATGAGCAAAAACTGCCCAAACGTAAGACTCCAAGTTCATATCATGAAAGCCTTTGCATTGAGTATTTTTCTTCTTCCTTTTTCAGTGTCTCAGTTTAAAATGGTGAATTATTCCTATGACGAAGACCTCGAAGAACTGTGTCCAGTCTGTGGAGATAAAGTCTCTGGATATCACTATGGACTTCTTACCTGTGAAAGCTGCAAGGTTTGCTTTCTGATTCTTTTTTTCATGGAATTGGATGTTTTCGGCATATTTGAAAGTGTCTTTTTGGAAAGTTGAAGTTTTGGCAAAGTGATGGAAAGCTCTGGCTTCTTTAGACTTTTCCTATTTGTGACCCCTTTATTTCTTGATCAATTTTTTTATATAGAGATATATAAAATCAGTATAAAAATCAAACGTTTACTGATAATTATCAATAATTATAAACCAGGCTTGCTCTGAGTCCCCTCGGGAAAATGGAGCGGTATATAAATAAATAATAATAATAATTATTATTATTGTTATTATTGTATTGTCGAAGGCTTTCATGGCTGGAATCACTAGGTTCTTGTGGGTTTTTTCGGGCTATAGAGCCATGTTCTAGAGGCATTTCTCCTGACGTTTCGCCTGCATCTATGGCAAGCATCCTCAGAGGTATGGTGAATGCTTGCCATAGATGCAGGCGAAACGTCAGGAGAAATGCCTCTAGAACATGGCTCTATAGCCCGAAAAAACCCACAAGAACCTATTGTTATTATTATTATTAAACAGGCTGGTTTTTCTTTTTCTGAAGTATTTTCTGCAGAGTAAGCACTGCACATAGTTGCAAGCAGATTCCTGCGAATGTCTAGGTGGGAAATTTTTCGAGACCCCAACATTGAGTGAAGGGGGTCATCCCATTTGAGGTTGAGACCCACAATTTAAGACAAGTGGAAGGAAAGCTCTGGATAGAGTGGCTATATATACTGCCTTTAAATATTTAGTTGTCGCGAAGTGATGTAGTTGTCGAGATGTCGAGGGGCTTTCATTCCCAGCTGTCCTCAATATTGATTTTAGTTGATTTATCTACATTGAGTATTATTGTTCCTGTATCTTGTTCCTGATAAATTTCAGGGTGACAGTATTGAAGGCAACTGTTTCAGGTTTCTCATCTTTCAGGGTGCACATGTAAATTTCCTTTGTCATTCTTCTTGTGTGTGTGTGTGTGTGTGTACGCACACCCGCGCACAGCGTTTTCTGTCAGTATTTATAAGGAGGGTGATCAAGTGGAAATCGATTCAATGATTTTTAAACAACATACATCAATATGAAGGATATATTTGCGCATGCATTTTATTTTGATGCATATGTGCCCGGAGGGTCAAAATTATACGTACATTCAAAATTATTGGCCGATACTTTACAACCAGCCGGCAAAGTCAGTCACGGTGTTTTATTTGGAGCAGCATAAAAGTATATTATATTCTGGATGAAATGTGTTAGTGATATGGACATTCAAATGTAAACAAAGTGGATTGTGTAGTTTTCTGTACTGAAGCAACAAAATGGACAATGCACAATTTAAGGACTGTCTAAAAACATAACAAAAATAGTAGATAGTTTCTATGAATATTTACTCAAAAGAAAGCCCGGCTTAGTTCAGTGCATACAGCACACTCTCAAGTGTGTCCACTTTGAAATAAGACTTCCATGTTATGTATTGTTGAAGGCTTTCGTGGCCGGAATCACTTGGTTGTTGTAGGATTTTTCGGGCTATTATTATTATTATTATTATTATTATTATTATTATTATTATTATTATTATTATTATTATGTCATGTCAGGAGTTGCTCCTGTTGTGAGAGAATTGGCCGTCTGCAAGGACGTTGCCCAGGGGACGCCCGGATGATTTGACATCCTTGTGGGAGTCTTCTCTCATGTCCCCGCATGAGGAGCTGGAGCTGATAGAGGGAGCTCATCCGCCTCTCCCCGGATTCGAACCTGCGACCTGTCGGTCTTCAGTCCTGCCAGCACAGGGCTTTAACCCACTGTGCCACCGGGGGCTCCTCTTTTTTCGGGGTATTACAACAGCACAACAATAGAGAGGAAACAAACAAGGACATCTAATCACCTCTCAACAATAGTTTGCTCAGGCCATTATATGCTAATCAAGGTGGTCAGTTGAAACATTCACACCTAGCTCCAGCAGACAAGAGTCCTTTGTCTCACCCTGGTCATTCCACAGATATATAAACCCTTTTTCCTAGTTCCAACAGACCTCACTACCTCTGAGGATGCTTGCCATAGATGCAGGCGAAATATCAGGAGAGAATGCCTCTAGACCATGGCCATATGGCTTGAAAAAACCTACAACAACCAACTTCCATGTTATAATAATAATAATAATAATAATAATAATAATAATAATAATATCAGGGGTCCTCAAACTTTTTAAACAGAGGGCCAGGTCACAGTCCCTCAAACTGTTGGAGGGCCAGATTATAATTTTAAAAAAAATGAATGAATTCCTATGCACACTGCATATATCTTATTTGTAGTGCAAAAACAGTTAAAACAATACAACAATTAAAATGAAGAACAATTTTAACAAATATAAACTTATTAGTATTTCAATGGGAAGTGTGGGCCTGCTTTTGGCTGATGAGATAGGATTGTTGTTGTTGTTGTTGTGTGCTTTCAAGTCATTTCAGACTTAGGTTGACCCTGAGCGAGGGCCGGGTAAATGACCTTGGAGGGCCGTATCCGGCCCCCGGACCTTAGTTTGAGGACCCCTGAGCTAGATAATAAACTTGATGTTCGTTTGTGGGATTAACATAACTCAAAAACCACTGGACGAATTGACATCAAATTTGGACACAATACACCTATCAGGCCAACGAGTGACCAACACTCATAAAAACACTGAAAAACGCAGCAGAAGAGACTTAAAAAGCAAAAAATAAATAAAAAATACATTATAACACATTCATCTTGGCAAAATCAGATATATACACAAACATACACACACACACACACACACATATATACAAAGGAAATATATATTTCCTTTGTCATTCTTCTTGTGTGTGTGTGTGTGTACGCACACCCACGCACAGCGTTTTTCTGTCAGTATTTATAAGGAGGGTGTGTGTATATGTGTATATATGTGTATATATGTGTGTGTATACACAAAAGTATACACACACATATATACACACAAGAAGAAGAAGAAGAAGGTGGATGAAAATATATAATAGCATAGGAAATATTAAAACAGAGCAATCTAACAGGATCAGAAATAATTCAGTTTGACTTATAAAATCTGAATAGTAATTTAATATAGGAAAACACATATACACAGACTGGGCCACAGTAATGCATGGCAGGGGACGGCTAGTAGTAGTAGTAGTAAACACTTTATTTATGTATTGTCGAAGGCTTTCATGGCCGGAATCACTGGGTTGTTGTAGGTTTTTTCGGGCTGTATGGCCATGTTCTAGAGGCATTCTCTCCTGACGTTTCGCCTGCATCTATGGCAAGCATCCTCGGAGGTAGTGAGGTCTGTTGGAACTAGGAAAAGGGGTTTATATATCTGTGGAATGACCAGGGTGAGACTGAATTTATATTTATTGATTGATTGATTGATATTAATTTATTTATATTCCACCCTATCTCCCTGAAGGGACTCAGGGCGGATTCCAATCACAATGACTGAATACGACAATAACAAAAAATAACAAACCCAAACATGTAAAATAGATGGTAACTTTTTTTTTTGTCGTGTCAGGAGTGACTGCAAGTCGCTCCTGGTATGAGAGAATTGGCCGTATGCAAGGACGTTGCCCAGGGGATGCCTGGATGATTTGATGTTTTTAACATCCTTGTGGGAGGCTTCTCTCATGTCCCCGCATGAGGAGCTGGAGCTGATAGAGGGAGCTCATCCGCCTCTCTTCGGATTCGAACCTGCGACCTGTCGGTCTTCAGTCCTGCCGGCACAGGGGTTTAACCCACTGCGCCACCGGGGGCTTAACATCTATCAAAAAAATTATATAAACATAGACAAAGCATCAACATGTTCAATAGGAATCACTTCCAGATTACACTATGTAACACAATTTTTCCCCTGGATAACAGATGTCATTTCCTAATTGGTTAAAATATAAAAACATGGGAAAAGTTCATTAAACTGCAAAAACTTAATTTTTGTGGGACATCCGGCACCACATTTTGCTCTAGTTTTTCAATGAATATCCCGTGGAGCTTCGACCAAGTCAACCTAGTTTGTGGCAAAAACAAAGTTTCTGGAATTGGACAACTACTTTCAAAGTAATTACCACACATTTAAACACTTTCAAACCAGGAACAGAGATTGTTGCAAATTTTGTTACATTGTGTAATTGTCTCTATACAGGGTAGTACGTTAACTCTGAAAGAAAATGTTCATTTTACTCAAACTTAACAGTGTGATACTTATTGTATTGTCAAAGGCTTTCATGGCCGGAATCACTGGGTTGTTGTAGGTTTTCCGGGCTATATGGCCATGTTCTAGAGGCATTTTCTCTAGGTCTGTTGGAAGTGGGAAAATGGGTTTATATATCTGTGGAAAGACCAGGGTGGGACAAAGGACTTTTGTCTGCTGGATCTAGGTGTGAATGTTACAACTGACCACCTTGATTAGCATTTAATGGCTTGGAAGTGCCCGGGGGAATCTTTCTTTGAGTATTAAAAAACTCAAAAAAACTCAAAAATTACAACAGCAAAACAACAGAGAGTAAACAATCAGGCACATCAAATCACATCTCAAAGAAAGATTTCCCCAAGCCATTAAATGCTAATCAAGGTGGTCAGTTGAAACATTCACACCTAGCTCCAGCAGACAAAAGTCCTTTGTCCCACCCTGGTCTTTCCACAGATATATAAACCCATTTTCCTACTTCCAACAGACCTCACTACCTCTGAGGATGCTTGCCATAGATGCAGGCGAAACGTCAGGGGAAAATGCCTCTAGAACATGGCCATATAGCCCGGAAAACCTACAACAACCCAGTGATACTTATTGTTTCCACATGTTGTCATAAAGATTTATGAGAATGAAGGTATCTATGATGTATTATATGAAACATGATTTTAAAAAGGATCACTAGTTCTAGGCGGGATAGTAACATACATGGCACCGTCAGTCTGAAAATCAGTAGCAAAAATTTCAAAACAGGGTCAGACCTCTTCCACACAGCCGAATAAAATCCCACATTATCTGCTTTGGACTGGGATATACGACAGTTCAAAGCAGATATTGTGGGTAATTCTGCCTTGATATTCTGGGTTATATGGCTGTGTGGAAGGGACCCCACACAAATTTAACTAGAGTTCAAGCAGGAGACAACAGAGAGGAGGAATCAAAGATTAACTCAGGGAATCGGTAGTGAATAGAGCAGCCAAGGCACAAATAGATGGACAGAGGAGGAATTACTATATATTTTTTCCAGTAGGTATAAAAAAACCTAACAAAATTATGTTCATGACATAATATATTTGTAAGACTTCATAAAGTTGTCGACACACTTTTTATTGATTTTGCAAGTATTTTGACTTTGATTAATATGAGGTTGAGGAAATAAAGCATAGCATTCAAATTGGCACTGATCTTGTATAGCATTTTTGTTGCATCTTGTGAAAGCAGTTTTTAAAAATAAAAATGCATCCTTAAAATGCCAGTAAAGAAATAACTGGAAATCATCTTGCAAAGATTATAGACAAGGAATAGGGTACGGAAGTCTCACCGCCAACATCCAAAGTAAATCAATATCAACACTGACCAACCTCAGAAAACATCTTGTTTTGTGGCCTGTTAGTGTTTTTCAAAGAGACTGCATCGTGATGTCTAGAAGGAAAGCTGCCACTTTGAAAACTGGTATTTTGAGAATAGAAAAGGGCATTCAGCAAACGTTTTTGGAGTGCAAAAGAAATGCCTGGGAAACCAAATGGGGTTGTCCGTTTGAAAACTGGTATTTTGAGAATAGAAAAGGGCATTCAGCAAACGTTTTTGGAGTGCAAAAGAAATGCCTGGGAAACCAAATGGGGTTGTCCGTGATATTTATTTTGTTTTTTTTTAATAACAGGGATTCTTTAAACGGACAGTCCAGAACAACAAAAGGTACACTTGCATAGAAAATCAAAGCTGCCAGATTGACAAAACTCAAAGGAAGCGTTGTCCGTATTGTCGGTTTCAGAAATGTCTAAGTGTCGGGATGAAGTTGGAAGGTAAGACATTAACTAATAATTAATTTATATAAATAAAAATGTAATGTTCGTTTGTGGGATTAACGTAAGTCAAAAACCAGTGGATGAATTGACACAAAATTTGGACACAATACACGTATCAGGTCAACAAGTCACCATCACTCATAACCCCCCCCCCAAAAAATTATGTATTATTTATTTATTTATTTATTTATAACTTTTATATACCGGTCTTCTCACCTCCGCAGAGGGACTCAGGCCAGTTCACAACAACAGTATCACAGACAATCATTTAAAAACATCACATCCCATAATAAGCTAAAACATTAAAATACTAAAATACTAAAAAAAAAACAGCACAAAGGACTTACAAACCCAAAAAAGCTAATGATGATACAGAAAAAAGGGAAGGAAGAGGGAGAGAGGGAAAGACAGAAAGGGAGACTGAAAGAAAGAAAGAAAGAAAGAAAGAAAGAAAGAAAGAAAGAAAGAAAGGAAGGAAGGAGAGAAAGAAGGAAGGAAGGAAGGAAGGAAGGAAGGAAGAGAGAGGGACAGAAAGGAAGTAGAAAAGAGAGAAGGAAGCATGGAAACAAAGAGTGAAGGAAGTAAGGAAAAAGGTAAAGAAAGAAAAAAGGGAAAGAAGGGGAGAGGGAGCAAAGGAAGGAGGGAAAGGAGAGAAAGAGGATGGAAAGGAAAGAAGGAAAGATAGAAGGAAGGATGGAAGCAAAAAGCAAAGGAAGGAAGGAAAGAGGTAAAGAAGGAAGGAAGGAGAAAAGGAAAGAAGAAAAGGGAAGGAAAGAGGGATCAAAGGAAGGAGGGAAAGAAGGGGAGAAAGATGGAGGGAAGATTGGCTACAGCAACGTGTGGTGGGTACAGCTGATCTATATAAATAAAAATGTAATGTTCGTTTGTGGGATTAACATAACTAAAAAACCACTGGATGAATTGACACCAAATTTGGACACAATACACCTATCAGGCCAACAAGTGACTATCACTGAAAAAAAACACTGAAAAACACAGCAGAAGAGACTTTAAAAGCCAAAAAAACAAAAATTACATTACAACGGATGTGCAAAACCACACACACACACACACACATATGCAAACACAAATATACACAGCAACATGTGGCAGGGACAGCTAGTAATAAATAAAATGTTCGTTCGTTTGTGGGATTAACAGAACTCAAAAACTACTGGACGAATTGACACCAAATTTGGACACAATACAACTATCAGGTCAACAAGTGACCATCAAACATAAAAACAATGAAAAACACAACAGAAGAGACTTAAAAAACAAAAATTACATTACAATGCAACCCCCATATATGCAAACACACATATACACAAATATATACACAGACATATACACACACAAAACACATATACACAGACTGGGCCACAGCAACGTGTGGCAGGGGACTGCTAGTTAATAATAACAACTTATGCCGCTATTGGAATAATGTACACCACAAAGGGAATTAATCCAGCCTCAGTCCTATTTGGAATTGATCCATTGAAATGATAGACTCATGAACTTACCATGTCTGACCCTATCCATAATGTGTAAAATGATCTTAGCTATTACATGTACATTATTATTTCCATTTTCTGTTATTGAAATTACTGCCACGTGTTTCTGTATTCCTGTACTTTGTCTCATGGGGTTTGACAGACTCTTGGAGTTTACAGTTTTATTTATATGTTGATAGCATCGTATGACGCTTATGTGAGGCCGTCTTGAGTCCCCCCTTGTGGGGAGAAGGGCGGGATAAAAGTGTACGAAACAAATAAATAAATACAGAATGCTTCTCCCACTGCTTCCCAAAATGGTGACACCCATCCCAAATTGACTTTGCTTCTGCGATATTTCAGGGCTACATTAAATGGTTACCTTACACTAGCACGTTGCAAGTATAATTTTGCAGTTGTCAGAAGAATGCGGAGCACTGAGCTAACCATAAATAAAAATGATCCTTTTAAACAAACAGCATTCAATTGAGAATATGTGTTAAATTATTGCATGGGATAATCTATATAAATAAAAATGTAATGTTTGTATGTGGGATTAACAGAACTCAAAAATCACCGGACAAATTGACACCAAATTTAGACACAAGACTCCTCTCAGGCCAACAAGTGACCATCACCCATAAAAACACTGAAAATCACAGTTAGAAGGGACTTAAAAGCCAAAAAACAAAAAAAAATACATTACAACACATGCGCAAAACCACTTATATATATACACAAACACACATATATACACACATATATGCATATACACACACAAAACACATACACAGAAAGGAGGAAGGAGAGAAGGAAGGAAGGAGAGAAGGAAGGAAAGAAAGAGGGTCAGAGAAGGAAGCAAGGAGGGAGAGAAGAAGGGAAAGAAGGAGGTAAGGAGAGAAAGAAGGAAAGAAAGAAAGGTAGAGAAGGAAGGAGGGAAAGAAAGAGAGAAGAAGGAGAAGAGGGAAGGAAGGAAAAAAAGGATAGAGAAGGAAGAAGGAGAGAAGGAGAAGAAAGAAGGGAAGGAGAGAAAGAAGGAAAGAAAGAAGGATAGAAGGAAGGAAGGAGAGAAGGGAAAGAAGAAGAAAGGAGGAGAGAAAGAAGCAAAGAAAGGTAGAGAAGGAAGGAAGGAGAGAAGGAGGAGAGAATGAAATAAAAAAGTGAAAGAGGGAAGGAAGGAGAGAAGGAACGAAAGAGAGAAAGAGGGAGGGAAGGAAGGAAGGAAAGAGACAAGGAAGGATGGAACCAAAGAGCAAAGGAAGCGAGAAAAGAAACAGGTAGAGAAGGAAGAAAGAAGAAGGGAAAGAAAAAGAGGGAAGGAAGGAAAGAGGGAGGGAAGGAAGGAGAGAAAGAAAGAAGGAGAGAAGGAGGGAGGGAAGGTTGGCCACAGCAACGTGTGGCAGGTACAGCTAATAATAACTATTTTGTTGCCAACCATTCCAGCCATATCTAAGTGTGTGGAATGCAAAATTGTATTAGAGATCAGTATGTTTCCGATGCACAACTGGCCATTCTTAGTTATCGATGGAATTTGCTCTGCAAGGGAATTCTGCCACTGAGTGGAGTGAGGAATTGTGCAATTGAGCTAATCATTGATGCGACACTCATTCAAAGAGTGACTAGCACTTTATAGTTGGATTTTTGCTCTGGAAGAGCTTGACATTTTTTAATGTATCTTAATTTTTATTTTTTAAAAGACAATTAAAAAATACTACCTGAATTTTAGATTTTATAAAAGGAAACAGCAATTATACAAGTAGGTTGAACATACAGGTTCCCAAATGCATGTCAAGCTAGACAATCTTCTTTTCCCACTTCGAAAGTCTTAGCACTAAAGTTTGTGTACATAGCCAGTGGCCATTTTTTTAAAAAGTCACAAATACAGGTGAAGAATTGCATTCCCTTGCATTCTTTTACTCCTAGCAAATTACCATTTGAATGGCTGGAAATCTATTATTCATTAAACCTCAGAAGCAAAGTACCACAAAGCAGAAATTCAGGGACATATTACCTCCCCCCTTTAAAAAAAAACACCTCTCCCCTCCTCCAACGAACCATTGCTATCACAAAAGTCATGCCAACATTTTACAAATTGTAAATTGGCCCCAAACAGTTGTCCAGTGATATATTCTAGTACTGGCTAGTGATGCAACCCCACATTTATCACATATTTTTGCAGTACTTTATCCGGCAGGCTATTTAGTCTTTCCTCAGTTTGGTTATATTCAGACCTAACTTTTGTTTGGAAATGCCGCACATAATTATTGATTTGTTTGCAGTGATTTAAGTACAAGTAATGGGATTTTACTGGGTTGTTATAGGTTTTTTCGGGCTATATGGCCATGGTCTAGAGGCATTCTCTCCTGACGTTTCGCCTGCATCTATGGCAAGCATCCTCAGAGGTAGTGAGCAAACAGATGATGAACCAACCTGGACACAGAATTTTATTTGAGAACACAGAAATGCTGGACCACTCTCACAACCACCATGTCAGACTACACAGAGAAGCCATTGAAATCCACAAGCATGTGGACAATTTCAACAGAAAGGAGGAAACCATGAAAATGAACAAAATCTGGCTACCAGTATTAAAAAAAACTCTAAAATTACAACAGCACAACAACAGAGAGGAAACAAACAAGGACATCTAATCACCTCTCAACAAAAGTTTGCTCCAGGCACTGTCAGGCCATTATATGCTAATCAAGGTGGTCAGTTGAAACATTCACACCTAGCTCCAGCAGACAAGAGTCCTTTGTCCCACCCTAGTCATTCTTCCTAGTATCCAGTAGACCTCACTACCTCTGAGGATGCTTGCCATAGGTGCAGGCAAAACGTCAGGGGAGAATGCCTCTAGACCATGGCCATATAGCCCGAAAAAACCTACAACAACCCAGTGATTCCAGCCATGAAAGCCTTCTACAAATCTCTGCTATAGCTACAGTTTGAAGACTCAGGGCCCTTCTAGACAGGCCCTATATCCCAGGATCTGATCCTAGGTTTTCCGTTTATCCCAGATTATCTGGCTGTATGGACTCATGTAAGCAGAAAACCTGGAATCAGATCCTGGGATATAGGACCTGTCTGGAAAGGACCTAAGTTGCACACTCCCAAACACTGTGGCAAGCTCTACCATTGACTTTGAATATACAATTGAGTCTTTCTGTTCACTGATATTTAACATTACTATTGTAAACATATACACTGCAGGGGAGCAAAGCTGAAATCAGTATAATTTATTTCTAAGTAAACTTGTTTAAGCTGTTTTTGGTATGAGTTGCCTCTTATAAAGATTTTGGACGTGGATTAGGCTCAATTATAGTATTTTAATAATTCAGCCAATAGATTTGAAACAGGCAGGATCATTTTTAATATATGTGTGTTATTGTGATAATTTTATGCCTGTGTTGTTTTGTTAATTTTATGTAATGCTATTTACTCTGTATGTTTTGGTGATGTTGATTGGAAACTGCCCTGAGTCCCCCTCGGGCAGATAGAGCGGTATATAAATAAAGTATTATTATTATTATTATTATTATTATTATTATTATTATTATTATTATTATTATAATAATAAAACGGTTCAGGCCCTGCCTATCTTCACAATCGCATCTCCCTCTATGAACCGGTGCAAACTTTAAGATCTTCCGGGGAGGCCCTCCTTTCGCTCCCACCACTCACAAGCACGGTTGGTGGGGACGAGAGAGGGCCTTCTCGGTGGTGGCCCCCCACCTCTGGAATGCCCTTCCTAGAGAACGGCCCTCGCTCAGGGTCAACCTAAGTCTGAAACGACTTGAAAGAACACAACAACAACAATCCTATCTCATCAACCAAAAGCAGGCCCACACTTCCCATTGAAATACTAATAAGTTTATATTTGTTAAATTGTTCTTCATTTTAATTATTGTATTGTTTTAAGTGTTTTTTGAACTACAAATAAGATATGTGTCGTGTTCATAGGAATTATAATCTGGCCCTCCAACAGTTTGAGGGACTGTGACCTGGCCCTCTGTTTATAAAGTTTGAGGACCTCTGTTTTAGACTGTATTGTGGCATTGCTGTTAGCCGGTCTGAGTCCCTCCGTAGGGGTAGAGAAGATCGGAATAAAAAAGTTTTAAATAAATAAATACATTTTAAAATGTCCCTGTTCTGACTTACATACAAATTCATCTTAAGAACAAACCTACAGAACCTATCTCGTTCATAATCCAGAGACTGCCTATATTTCTGACACTCCTGTCGTTGGTATTTAGCTTGAGATTGCTGGTTTTTTCAATGAAGTGCGCTGAGTCCTTGTAGTGTGTAGTGAAATGCTGGACCACTCTCACAACAACCATGTCAGACTACACAGAGAAGCCATTGAAATCCACAAGCATGTGGACAATTTCAACAGAAAAGAGGAAACCATGAAAATGAACAAAATCTGGCTACCAGTATTAAAAAAAACTCAAAAATTACAACAGCAAACAACAGAGAGTAAACAACCAGGCACATCAAATCACTCTCAACAAAAGATTCCCCCAGGCACTTCCAAGCCATTAAATGCTAAACAAGGTGGTCAGTTGAAACATTCACACCTAGCTCCAGCAGACAAAAGTCCTTTGTCCCACCCTGGTCATTCCACAGATATATAAACCCATTTTCCTACTTCCAACAGACCTCACTACCTCTGAGGATGCTTGCCATAGATGCAGGCGAAACGTCAGGAAAAAATGCCTCTAGAACATAGCCATATAGCCCGGAAAAATCTACAACAACCCATCCTTTTTAATTTCCTCTATTAAAGATTGTCTTGCCGTCCCTCTGCCACAGTCCCAGAAACCAACTTCCCTTCCTTATCAGCAGAGCAGGAAGAACCGTGCGCTCTCATAATCGTAAATGGTCATGACATTTATATGCATGTTTCTTCAATGGTGATACATGATCCTTAATCCAAGTCCATAAATTACAGTTTAGGCTCAAATCATTAATTGTTAACACCTCTTTATGATAATGTACGGCTCTCTGTGTACCTAGGAATGCCTAATACATTTTTAATGGCAGGCTAATCCTTAAGATAAAAGCTTAGGAACGTCACCTCCGGCCATCTCAGTGTGTCACCAAGCTGTCAAAGGGCCTTCTTGCCATCTAATTGCCAGTGGGAAGGATAAGCAGAGTGAGACCTGCTTAAAATATGCTTTCGTGACATGTTGTTCCAACAAAGACCACAAGACAGCTGGGTTGTTTTTTTTTTTTGGGGGGGGGGGGGCATTTCAGTTACTCTTTTCCAAGCTTAATTGTATTGTGCGCTGAAGGGCAATAGCAGTTGCATGTTTAGAGTGAGTGGCACCTGGCTGCCTATGGCTTATCTGGAAATGACTCCAGAAGCTGGGGTAGTGGGTGAGGGGGGAAACCCAAAGACTTTCTGAAGAGCTTGTAGTTTGCAACTAAAGGGCACTAATGAAATTGTTCAATGTATTGTCGAAGGCTTTCATGGCCGGAATCACTGGGTTGTTGTAGGTTTTTCCGGGCTATATGGCCATGTTCTAGAGGCATTTTCTCCCGACGTTTCGCCTTCATCTATGGCAAGCATCCTCAGAGGTAGTGAGGTCTGCTGGAACTAGGAAAAAAGGTTTATATATCTGTGGAATGACCAGGGTGGGACCAAGGACTTTTGTCTGCTGGAGCTAGGTGTGAATGTTTCAACTGACCACCTTGATTAGCATGTAATGGCTTGGAAGTGCCTGGGGGAATCTTTTGTTGAGAGTGATTTGATGTGCCTGATTGTTTACTCTCTGTTGTTTTGCTGTTGTAATTTTTGAGTTTTTTAATACTGGTAGCCAGATTTTGTTCATTTTCATGGTTTCTTCCTTTCTGTTGAAATTGTCCACATGCTTGTGGATTTCAATGGCTTCTCTGTGTAGGAACATGAAAGGCAATGCAGACTACTTCAACCAGAGAAGTCAGCCATAGCAGAGCACCTGATGAACCAACCTGGACACAGCATATTATTTGAGAACACAGAAATGCTGGACCACTCTCACAACCACCATGTCAGACTACACAGAGAAGCCATTGAAATCCACAAGCATGTGGACAATTTCAACAGAAAGGAAGAAATCATGAAAATGAACAAAATCTGGCTACCAGTATTAAAAAAAACTCAAAAATTACAACAGCAAAACAACAGAGAGTAAACAATCAGGCACATCAAATCACTCTCAACAAAAGATTCCCCCAGGCACTTCCAAGCCGTTAAATGCTAATCAAGGTGGTCAGTTAACATTCACACCTAGCTCCAGCAGACAAAAGTCCTTTGTCCCGCCCTGATCATTCCACAGATATATAAACCCTTTTTCCTAGTCCAACAGACCTCACAACCTCTGAGGATGCTTGCCATAGATGCAGGCGGAACGTCAGGAGACATTGCCTCAAAACATGGCCATATAGCCCGGAAAAACCTACAACAACCCAATAAAATTGTTGTTATGTGCCACGACATTTCTAACTTATTGCATCCTTGTCCTGGGGTATTCTTGGCAGGATTTGTTCAGCGAATGTTTCCCATTGTCTTCCATTAAGAGAGTGTGACTTGTCACTCTATTAATTTCCATGATTTAGCAAGGATCCCAACTCCGCTGTACAGTGGTCCAGCACACAAACAATATTGCAACACTAACTCTCAGTAATAGTGTTATTGCTGTTTCATTCTTTCATCAGAAAGATCTGCAAAATCTTTGTTTTCCAAACAACCAGAATGTAGGATGTCATTTAAAATAGTGTCCCTTCAGTGGGCTGATTTCAGTGACAAAACAATATAGTGAAGCTTTATTAAATGTGGAGCTTAAAAACATCGGACATGACAAACCATTCCGGGACTGTGGCGTAGCTGGCTGGGAGTCAGCTGCATTAAGATCACTACTGACTGAAAAGTCATGAGTTCGAAGCCAGCCCGGGTCGGAGTGAGCTTCCAAACAATTTGTGTAGCTTGTTGTCGAGCTTTGCAGTCCGAAAGACAGTTGCATCTGTCAAGTAGGAAATTTAGGTACCGCTAATGAGGGGAGGCAAATTTCACTAATTTATGAGGCCATAGAAATCTCCAGCAAGCATGCAAAGAATGAGGAAGTACTTCATTAGTGTCACGAATAGTTGGTGAAGGGACAGCTCCCCTGGTGGCCAGAATACCCTCAAGAAAAGCTGGAATGTTAAATTGCCTCTGTGTCTGTCAATATATATTGTGTATCTATGGCATTGAATGTTTGCCATGTATATGTACATTGTAATCTGCCCTGAGTCCCCTGCAGGGTGAGAAGGGCAGAATATAAATACTGCCAATAAATAAATAAATAAATAAATAAATTCAATTTCAATCACTTTGGGATCCTCTTGACCAGGCATCCTCAAACTGTGGCCCTCCAACTGTTTAGGCCTCCAACTCCCAGAAACCCTAACAAGCTTGTGCAATTGTCAGGAATTCTGGGAGTTGAAGGCCCAAACAGCTGGAGGTCCGCAGTTTGAGGATACCTGCTCTTGACATTAGTGAGGCATTCATAGTTTACTTGAACTGGATTGAATGGATACTTCAATATGGTAAACTTTGGTACAATCATGCCCGAGTATTATTCTCATCTGCCTTTGGAAGGTAAAATATATTTAGATCAAGTAAAATTACAGGAAAGATGCTGATACGTTCATATAACCCCATTGCATTGCCATAGTATTTTACAATGTATTACTTTATAGGATGTGCAATGCAACATATAACATATTAGTATCTGAAATGTATAATGCTTTATGTAATTTAATTGTTGTTGTATTATTGTAATTGTTTATATGTAGCGGCATCGAATCATTGCCAAATGTAAGCCGTCCTAAGTCCCCCTTTGGGGGTAGAGAAGAGACGGGGTAGAAATACCATAAATAAATAAATAAATAAATAAATAAACAAATAAATAAATAATATATTATATGTATCTCCACCAGTGGTTCTCAACCTGGGGTCCCCAGATGTTCTTGTCCTTCAACTCCATGAAATCCTAACAGCTGGTAAACTGGCTGGGATTTCTGGGGGCTGCAGGCCAAAAACATCTGGGGACCCCAGGTTGAGAACCACTGATTTACGCTGACCATATAATGCAGTTTGGAACTGCATTATATGACTGTGTAGTTCCAGCCAAAGTGCCATGTGTGCTGTTTTGAGTTCATTAGAATATTCCATTTTAAAGACAAGAATGTTTAAACAAGTACTTCTGTTTGTTTCACAACCACAATTGTAACACCGTTCTCTCTTTTGTTACCTCCACTTTCAACAGCTGTGAGAGCTGACCGAATGCGTGGGGGTCGAAACAAGTTTGGACCAATGTACAAGAGAGACCGGGCACTGAAGCAGCAGAAGAAAGCTCTTATCCGAGCAAATGGACTCAAGTTGGAAGCCATGACTCAGGTAATCCAAGCGATGCCCACAGACCTAACCATCTCCTCGGCCATCCAGAATATACATTCTGCCTCCAAAGGCCTACCTCTCAACCATACAGCCTTGCCTCCTGCAGACTATGACCGGAGTCCCTTTGTCACTTCTCCTATTAGCATGGCCATGCCACCACATGGCAGCCTCCAAGGTTACCAGCCCTACGGTCACTTTCCAAGCCGTGCTATCAAGTCCGAGTATCCTGATCCTTACACTAGCTCCCCAGAGTCCATCATGGGCTATTCTTACATGGATGGTTACCATCAGACAAGCTCACCAGCAAGTATTCCTCATCTGATCTTGGAACTCTTGAAGTGTGAGCCAGATGAGCCGCAAGTCCAGGGAAAGATCATGGCATACTTGCAGCAAGAACAAGCCAACCGAAGCAAGCATGAAAAGCTCAATACCTTTGGGCTGATGTGTAAAATGGCTGACCAAACCCTCTTCTCAATTGTCGAGTGGGCCAGGAGTAGCATTTTCTTCAGAGAACTTAAGGTATGTCATACAATTGTTTTTTTAATATGGCATGTTTATGAACTTTATAGTTTAGATCAGGGGTCTTCAAACTTTTTAAACAGAGGACCAGGTCACAGTCGCTCAAACCGTTGGAGGGCCGGATTATATTTTGGGGAAAAAAACATGAATGAATTCCTAAGAACACTGCACATATCTTATTTGTAGTGCAAAAAAAATAAAAACAATACAATAATTTAAATGTAGAACAATTTTAACAAATATACTCTTATTAGTATTTCAATGGGAAGTGTGGGCCTGCTTTTGGCTGATGAGATAGGATTGTTGTTGCTGTTGTGTGCTTTCACAACAATAACAACTTCGGTTGACCCTGAGCGAGGGCTGGGTAAATGACCTTGGAGGGCTGGATTCGGCCCGTGGGCCTTAGTTTAAGGACCCCTGGTTTAGAGCTTAATAATTGGACTATACCATTGGTCCTTTTTCTCAGAACAACTTACAACCACTGACTGTTCTTTGATCAAAAGTCACCATCATCCCACAAGAATGAAAAGTACACTTGCCCTGTTAGTCATCATCTTCTTGTAAATGAGCAATAACAGAAAGTAGAGCCCCTGCTCTATAAATCTGCAGTTCAAAACTTCAAAAATAGGAGACCCTCGGGAGCTGTTCTAAGGCATTCCTAACGTGGTTGATGTTACAGAGGTGATTGTAGACAGCTGTCTAGGACAGCACTGTTGGGAATAGGTGCAAATGTTTTCTGGAATAGAAAGAAGGCTTTCCTTTTTCAGACCTGTTTGTGTACTACAGGGGGGTGATATAGGAGAAGAGTAAGTAGGTTATTGAAATACTGAAACAACCAGGATGGGACTTCTCATTAAACAGTACATTGTTTTAGGAAGCAAATTGGGGGTAGGAGGAGAGGGTAGGAGCAGAGAACAATTGCCAGTGTATCTGTCCGAACGTATCTCCCTCTACGTCCCACCCCGGAGTCTGAGATCATCTGGGGAGGCCCTGCTCTTGACCCCACCGCTATCACAAGTGAGGTTGGTGGGAACGAGGAGCAGGGCCTTCTCGGTGGTGGCCCCTCACCTGTGGAACTCACTCCCAGGAGAAATTAGGGCATCAACATCCCTCCTTTCCTTCAGGAGTAAAGTAAAGACGTGGTTGTGGGACCAGGCCTTTGGGCAATCTGACAACTAGATAAGGACAATCAAACCACTAGGACTGACAGGACTGACAATGTGGAATTGGAAAATGGACTATGAGATAGCGAACGCTGACCGGCTATGAGGAGTAATTGGGTTTGTATTGTTTTATTGGTTGAATTGGTTTTAGGGTTGTAATGCAGGAATTGTTGTTTAACTGTTTAACTGTTTAATTGATGTTATCTTGTTTTACTACTGTTATGTGATGCTGGCATCGAATTTGTGCCTTTGTAAGCCGCCCTGAGTCCCCTTCGGGGTGAGAAGGACGGGGTAGAAGAAACCGAAATAAATAAATAAATTTAAAGATAGAACTGTGCCATACAGCCTGTTATGGACTCCTAAGGTAGGCTGTTACTCTCATGTTCAGTTGAGGGTACTTACTATCAGCAGTGTGAAGAACAAAGACCTGCTTCAGCTGCCAATATGTGGAACTGGGAGCATCTTCCTTTCTTCAGGCAGCAAACTATCATGGAACGAGTTCCCAAAGTGTAAAGCAGCTTAAGTAGATTAAATAACTGTAACCTCTGTATAGCCAGAAGAAAGAGTGGCCATGATTACCTTATTTTTTGATGTGCGATATGAGTGACAACCACTTTGTCATCAGACAGTGAGCTCACTGAAGAAAAAACTTGTGGTGGTGGTAGTGGGAGGAATAAACTGTTCACTTAATATGCTGTTGTCATTTAAAAATTCAGGCAGAATTTGGATTTCAGACCTTTAGGCTGCAGCATAAGATTTATTTATTTATTTACAATATTTATATACCGCCTTTTTCACACACACCCCGGGGGGGGGGGGGGGACGACGGGACTCAAAGCGGTTTACACATAAATAATGGCAAAATTCAATGCCTTACATTGGGCACCGATACGATGCCAATACAAACAATTACAATAGTAAAACCACAATTAAACATAAATAGTAGTTAGAACAATATACCAAAAAGCATTAAAACAATAAAACAGTCTCGTCAGTCGAATCGCCGTTCCAGTCAGTGTCCCTCTAAAATGCCACATACACCTACTGTCCGAAGGCCTGGTCCAAGAACCATGATTTTAATTTTTTTTCTAAAAGCCAGGAAGGGGGGAGTGGATCTTACCTCATTTGAGAGTGTGTTCCATAGGCGGGGGGCCACAGCCGAGAAGGCCCTGTCTCTCGTCCCCGCCAAACGCATTTGTGCTGTTGATGGGAGCGAGAGCGGGGCCTCCCCGGATGATCTTAGATTAGGATGTATAGATATAGTACTCAAATATATAAGGGTATCCTCTCTTGTAGATCTGCAAATATGTGAACTAGGGGAGCATTCTTTTATTTACTGTTCCATTGGTTGAGATTCCAGGCGCTCTTTGGCAATTTGTAGATTTGTAATGGATGTGCTGAAGAGAGTGTCATATTGTGACCATAGGTATAATTTATACATGACAGAAGACCTGATAATGTCCCATTGCAAAAGCATTCCTTTCTAGACTCCTAAATCAATATGTCCCTGACTGACTACTAAACAGTAACCCTTTTCCTGACTCTTAAGCTACATGTTAATTTATCATTTATTGCTATTTTCCATAGTTCTTTATACCATTCTTCAATTGGTATATTTATTTTACCTTTCTAATTCTTCGTTATCAGTAATCTTGCTGCAGTTAACATGTTATCTATTGCATCTTTCTCTGTTTTTTCCTGTATTTACAAATCATAAGAATCGTAATAACCAGGTGTGATGAGGAGAGTATGCATCCCATCGCAATTCAGTATGCATCCAGTCCTAAAATAAATATGAGATGCATAATGATATAAACGGATTATATCCCAATGTGATAAGGCCACATGTGTGCTAGTCCTATCTTTTGTGTTATGAACCCATAATGATCAACACGTAGCAAATTCATTCTCCATTATTACATAGGATGAATCCATGAAAGTTTGGTTTCAAAAAGTCTACTGAAATGAAGGTTAAAGGATTGGTTTCTCTTGATTTCAGTGGGTTCTAAGCACGTAAAATAATACAAATATTCAAGCAAATATTTAATTCACGTGGCCTATGACAGAGGATCCAAATGGTGGTGCATCCAAATCTATTTTGTAAAGCCATACACAAAAGATGGCGATTTTATTTAATTCTACCAACTGAAGAATGGATTGTAGGTTGTAGCTTTCCTCATTGTAAATACTGGACATATCATCCCAAACAACACTATGTAACAAAATTTGAAAAAAAAAGGCTCCTGATTTGAAAGTGTTCTTTCCTGTTTAATTGTGTAGTACTTTGACAGTAGTTGTTATACTTCAGAAACCTCGGTTTTGCGGCCATCACAAACTACATTGAATTGGTTGAGATTCTATGAGATATTTATTGAAAAACTAGAGCAAAATGTGCTGCAGGAAGAAAACTTTGTCCATGTTTTTATGATAGAACCAATTAGGAAATGACATTTATAACCCAGGAACAAAAATCATGTTACATATTGTAATCAGTGTCAAGTGAAAAGCCAGAAGGCAGCTGCCTGGAGCACAATCCATTCCAATGAATATGAGCTGTCCATGTGTGTTAATGTACAAACGGTCTTACGAAACTACTCCTAGGTTGTGCCCCTACTATATTTGCTCCTGAAACACTTTGCAGTCAGGATGTATTGTGCTAATGAAACGTTTTTGGTCATGGTTGCATCATTATTTATTTGTTTATTTTATTTAAAATTTTGTATACCGGCCTTCTCACCTCTCTTGAGGGACTCAGACCGGTTTCCAACCATAATATCACATACAATCAATAAAACATCATAATACATATTACAGTAAAACATTAAAACAGCAATTACAATCAATAACTATAATGGTCAGTCGTCACACTAAAATTGTTGCTCATCATCCTCCATCCATATCTCAGGGTGTTGGCTCACTCGTCGAATACCTGTCTCCATAACCAAGTCTTCTCCTGTTTCCTAAATGTCAGGATAGAAGGGGCGGTTCTGATCTCCAGTGGGAGAGAGTTCCAGAGTCGAGGGGCCACCACCGAGAAGGCCCTGTCCCTCGTCCCCACCAGACGCGCTTGCGAGGCCGGTGGGACCGAGAGCAGGGCCTCTCCAGACGATCTTAATAATCTTGATGGTTCATAGGGGAGAATACGTTCGGAGAGGTAAACAGGGCCGGAGTCGTTTAGGGCTTTATAGGTTAACACCAGCACTTTGAATTGTGCTCGGAAGCTAATTGGCAGCCAGTGGAGCTGGTGTAACAGCGGAGTGGTGTGCTCCCTGTACCCAGCACCCGTTAGTAGTCTGGCTGCTGAGCGTTGGACTAGCTGCAGCTTCTGGGCAATCTTCAGAGGCAACCCCACGTAGAGAGCATTGCAGTAGTCTAAACGGGATGTAACCAAAGCGTGGACCACCGTGGCCAAGTCAGACTTTCCAGATCATCAGATAAACAGGGGAAATAGTTGAGTGGAATAAATGTTTGTGTGTCCAACTTGTAAAAGTCTGCAGGAGCATATTTGTAGAAGTATATACTGTGGTCCTGATCAGAACGACCCTTTTGCTATCATGAACAATTGTGCCTAAATTCTGAAGTATTATATCCCAGTGTAGCACTGAAAGAGTTCTCGGAAGTGAATGACATATAAAACAAAACGAAACAAGAACATTGTTTTTGCCCTCAGGCTTACAGTTGTTAAAACATACACAAACAGAAACACAAAAGGAAATGGGGATTGTGAGTAGGGAAGAAACATAGTTCAGTAGCAAGTTCTTAATATGATGTGGCTCATATAATGTAGGCAGTCCACATGCATCATTAGCTAATGGCATTAACAGCTTGAATTTATTT